AGTGGACTGGCAGTTTCTGCTTCCTCCTTCTTGGTAGCCAGAAACCATATTATAAGAATCTCAGATTTACCCCTCTCAACAGTGCAAGTCCACATGAAAAGAGAGGGATCATGCAGAGATGCACTGAAGCATCAGGACTGGAGATAACATTTTTCTGTGACCTCCCAGGCTAGCCTAGCGGCTAGATGGGTGTGGCTGAGTGTCACTAGCCAGCACCAACCAAATTCTTCCTGTCTCCCTTGAACCCAAGTCAACTCACAGGATCATGAAAGATAACATAACATTGTGTGCAAGCATTAAGATTTGGGATGGCTGCACACCCATGTTTATCGCAGCTTTGCTCACAATAGCAAGGAGCTGGAAACAACCTAAGTGCCCACCAACAAACAAATGGATAGAGAAGCTGTAGTATATTCACATAATGGAATACTACACTGCATTGAAATATAACGAACTCATGCAACATTATTCAAAATGGGTGACCCTGTTGTTTTCACCCTCCTTGATGCTGAGAAATGTCTTCCCAGAAACTACCACTTAGAAGTAGGCTGACTTTTCTCCAGGGCCAAGATGGCAGAGGTCTGGTTCAGGATTTTCCTCTTCCTTCACTTGATGGAGTCAAGAAGACAATTTGCCTGAGGACAGGGACAGAGCTGTCTTGTTTTGGCCAGACTAAAACTGATGGCGGCCAGTCATGAAGGTATACTAAAAAAAACTAACCCAAGGCTTTGGGGACTCTGGTTACTTTGATTGCTGTGGAAAAACGCCAGCTGTTTTCCCCAGAAAATGTCCTATGACTGACTTCATTGGGCCATTTTGGTATTTAATAGCTAAATGGCTATGCTAAAGAAACTATTGTTCATAGGGTTGCTTATGGGTCATACTCGATGGTACCTAACAGCAGCAACAACAGAGTAAAAGGGTGAGAGGAAGAAAAACTTTTGCAAATGGTCAGTATAAACCTTGTGTGTTTAGGACAAAATACATGGGGCAAACTGTCACCATAGTGGCTGAGAGGACCTACATCCACCCTGGCTGTCCAAAGCTAGACTTTGCCTGGCACATAACCACTATTGCTAAAAGGTTCTGTACCTATAGAAACCTATTTTGAAAACACTTATTTTACACAGCAATTTTGTATTCATTAAAATTAACCTTTTATCAATAAAGCATTATTGTTTAGATATTAAAAAAAAATGGGTGACCCTGGAGGACATTATGCTGAGTGAAGTATGTCAGTCACAATAGGACAAATACTGCATGGTGCCACTGTTGTAAAACAGGACTGACCTCGGGGTTGGGGGGAGCCTGAGAAAGATGAATTCTGCATTGAAACACATAAGGAAGAAAACTGTTTAAAAGGGATATGTGATTAGGTATTTTTGTCATGACGGGAGTCCAGAGCAAAGGCTGCATAGTGGAGTGGAACTGGGGGGTGCGATTGTAAACAATGAAAGAATTTTTCTTTTACTTTTCCAAGAGGGTAGTGTACTAGGGGGGAGGGTTGGGAGGGGAGAAAAGTGCAACAATCAATGAATGGAAATCCAAAGTCTCTGTAAATTTTCACTGAAATTAATAATAAATTTTTAAAAAGAAAAAAAATATTTGGGATGGCTGCTATGCAACCACAGATCACTGAAATAAAGATGGCAAACTTCTATGGCCTTCATCCTATGCCCTGTTGTTAAGTTCAATGTCATAGAGTTGACTAAGACTCAAGGAGACCCTATATATCACAGAACAAAACCCTGCACCAACCTGCACCAGCCCCACAAAAGTTCCTGCTTGTGGTCATGGTCTCAATCTATCTCATTGTAGGTCTTCAACTTTTTCAAGCATAATGTCCTTTCCCAAAGACTGGCCTCTCCTGATAATACATCCAATGTACGTGAGACTGTTTCATTATTCTTGCTTCTAAAGAACACTCTGACTGTACTTCTTCCAACAAAGTTTGTTCTTTTGGCTGTCCATGGTTACATTCAATACTCTTCAACACTAAAATTCAAAGGCTTGGATTCTTCCTTAGTCTTCTTTAGTCCTTGTCCAACTTTCACATATATATGAAGCAACTGAAAATACCATGGCTTATGGGTCAGGCACACTGGAGCCTTTAAACTGACAGAGGTCCCTGGCCACAGATATAGACAATGCAACCTTTCATCTGATGTCCTGACTGCTGCTTCCATGTTGATTTTGTATTGATTGTGGATCCAAGTAAGATAAAATTCCCGACAAATCAGTCTTTTCTCTGTTTATTATGATGCTATTTATTGGTCCAGTTGTGAGCATTTTTACATGTTACTATTGAGGTGTAATCCACAGCGAAAGATGTTTCATCACCATGCAAGTACTGCCAGCAGCTACCCATTTGGGCACCAAATGGGAGGCCACCGAGTCCACCAGATGTCTAGGAGCCGGAGGGCTCTATGTCAAAATATCCGAAAGACAGATAAGCAAAGCAGAAAAACCAAGAAGGGCCTGCACATGCTCCTAGCAGCAAAGCTGTGTGGCTGAACGCAACTGCATCAAATGTGGGGGTTGAGGTTAAAACTCTGCCTCACACTAAAAGAAATCAAATGTTTTCTTCTTTTTTCCAATTTTTTCTTTATATGATTGAAGGTTTAAAATCATATTGGTACAATTACTCATAGACATTTTGTTTCATGATATTAATTGCCATTAAGCAATTTCAAAGTTACAATGTCTAATCAAACATTTACTGTGTATTTCCTTTGCCTTCACATAACTCATATATTTATTAATTTTTATTGTCCTCTTTCTCTCTTCCCACGTTGGTTATAACTTCAATATTGATTCCATCTATATGTAACCTTTTTCTTAGTTTCTTATAATATATTACACCGTATCATCTTTTTGCAACAGGCTTATGTCACATAGCATAATTTGCTCTAGATTCACTGATGTCATGCAGTATTTCATGACAGAATTCCGGTCATTACTCAGTGATGCCTGATACTCATGTCTTCTTTGGCTATTCATGCATTGATGGACACCAAGGTTGTTCCTAACTCTTTGCTATGGTAAATAATGAATGCTGCAATAAGCATGGGGGTGGGGTATATCAGTTTGTTCTTATTTCTAGTTTTGCTGTCCTTATTTCCTTGGGATATAAGCTTCTACATTAAGACCAATTAAGAAAAAAGATTGGCCACCTACTTCTGAAACATATCAGGCCTTCAAAAACTCTATGTACAATAGAGCAGAGTGGCACAGGAAGGGAAGGCTTCAGAGCTGTTGGACGTAGGGTCACTATGAGTCACAGGCAACTCGACAGCACACAACAACAACAACAAAAATGTACCTACTAGTGGGACTGTTGGATCAAACGGTATTTCTATTTCTAACTTTCTAAGGAAGCACAAATCTGCTTTCTGTAACGGTCATCCATTTTACAGTCCCACCAGCAGATTATGAGAGTTCTAATCTCTCCACACTATTGTCAACATTTGTTAACTCTCCAAAATACTGAAGAGCAATGACTAAGGATGAGCAAAGAAGGACTGATGCCTTTGAGTTGTGGTGCTGGAGAAGAATATTGAATATACCCTAGACTCCCAAGACAACAAACAGGTTTGTTCTGGAGAGGGTGAAACCAAGTTGCTCCTTGTAGAGAAGGATTTTGAAACTCTATCCAACATGCTTTGGGCATGTTTCCAGGAGGGACCAGTTCTTGGAAAAGGACATGATGCTTGGAAGGGTGGAGGGATAGAGCAAGAGAAAAAGACCCTGGAGGAGATGGATTGACACAGTAATTGGGGTTATGGGAGTAGGAGTGTTAGAGACAGTGAGATTGGCTCAGGATAGAACAGAATTCAGAGCTATTGTGTATGGGGTCACTATGAGTTTCAAGCAACTTGATGGCACATAACAACAACAGCAGCATACATTTATATGTGTATATTAATATGTTTATGTGTATATATAGATACATAGATGTGTGTGTGTGTGTGTGTGTGTGTGTGTGTGTGTGTGAACATAAAAGCACGGAGCATAATTATGGAAGGGCACATACAAAGCTGTTAATATGTGTTACCTAGGAAAGAAGTGATGAGTGAGAAACAGAAATGAAGAGTAGACGGGAGGAAAATGTGTAACAATGAATGAACGGGAGAAAATTAAATTAAAAAAAAAAGAAATAAAGGATAGCCAAGTTAAAAAGAAAAGACAACACTGAAAAAATATATAGGATATTTACACATTTTTGCGTTACAGGCGTATGCTTAGAACACATAAAATAACATTAAAGCAAAAGTGTAAAATAAAGCAAATAGTGATGCCAATTTCATCCCAACATAGTTTTGAAATATGTCTGTCATTTAAGAACTGCTCTTTTTGCTCTGCAAGTTAATGTTACGCAGAAGAAACGACACTGTGGGAATGAGCCCTACAGTAGAGGGAGAAGTTCAGCAGCCTTTCTCTACCAGGACAGCTTCTTAGCAGGGAAAACTTCTCCCCGGGCTCCTTACCAGAATCACACAGCTAGGCCTGGCAGACATCTCTCAGTGTTACATGTCCATCTGCAGGGCTCTGGTGCACATGTCAGGCTGATAGGTAGCACCTGCCCACAGCCAGCCACCATACTTGCCCCTTCTCTAGCACCCGTGGGGTCTCTAGTCTACACCCACCCCCTCCCAACCCTCACCCAGAACTGCTTCCTTCCTCCGCCTCCCTTTCCTATTGGCTCTCATATGTATCTAAGTTCCCAAAGCCTTATCACCGCTCCTCTCTTTGGCTTAGATTTACAAGAGAAAAGAAAAAGATCAAGCCAAGAGAGTAGATTTAACTAAAGGTCTCGCATCCCCTGAACAACCAAAGTCACTTCCATCCCTCTGTCTGGCAGCCAACCAGTGCCGCCCTGTGAAAGGCAACGTTCCGTCATGGCCAAAGACTTTCATACATCTGGTTGATTCCAGCTACTAAAAGAGTAGGTGAAAGGTACAATAAAAGGTACCCGAAGGTCTGGGCGAGCCTCACATTACCTTTTCTAGCTCCCTCAAAGCTGGTGTTTGTGGCTGTAGTGTTTGGCCAGCTCTCATATGGCTGGTCCTCAATCCCACCTAGAGAAAAAGAGAAGAAAAGAACACGAGAGCACATCAGCATCTTTGTACCACAGCCAAGAGACCAGGGAGCACTCACCAGCCAGTGTGCTCGGGTGAACAGTACAACTAGTAGGTGGTGAGGACTTCCTCAGAAAGGTTAACTGAGCTTCTGTCTGGAGCTGCCTGATTCTACAGAGGTTTGTTTTCTGGTTCTGGTGAGGCTTGCATGTGGAATGTTTACTCACCATTGGGTGTGAGCTGATTGGATTTGGCCTATTTAAAAAGGCATTTGGGCCTATGGGCCTGTGGCCCTTTGGCCTGGTTTTATTTGGTTTTGGTCAAACATTCTTCTAAGTGATTTAGCACTGGTCTGTCCATTTGCTGTACAGAGGTAACTCGTGGTTGTTGTGATGCTAAACACTGTGACACTGATGTGTCAAATGCGATAATGGTTACCCATGGTGGACAGTGTTTGGGGAAGCTCCCCGATTAAAACAGGCTTGGAAGCAGGAGTGACATCTGTTTCTGAAATAGCTTGCCTCCAGAAACTATGAACTTGGAAAAATGATGAGAGCTATACAAGTGTTCAGGTCTTTTGTTGATAGGGTCGCTTTGAGTCGCCTTCACTTGACTTGACAGCACTTAACAACAACAACAACAACAACAACATCACATGCGAGGCCCGATTCCAGACACTAAGGCAAAAAAGAGCCTTCTTCCTTACAAGCACACTTAAAACTGGCAAATGAATAGAAGTATTCCTTTCTTTGATGAAGTACAAGGTCATGCAGAATCAAATTTACAAACTTCACCCTAAAGTCGGTACCCTACCCTCCACCTCCAGAAGGAAATGGAATATCCTTAAATTATCAAGGCAACTCCCTGTAACTATACCACCAGATTTTGCTAGGCAAGAAATAAGGCCCCAGGAATTAACAGACCACCAGTGGAAGTATTTCAACAAACAGATGCAGCCCTAGACTTGTTCATGCTAAACAATCTGAAGGCAACTGGCCATCAATGGACTGGAGAGATCCATATTTGTTCCCATTCCCAAAAGAAAGGTGATTTGACAGAATGTGGGAACTTTCGAGAAGTATCATTAATATCATGCAGAAGTAAAATATTGGCAGAAAACTACTAAGAAATTCAAGCTGTGTTTAGAAGAGATTCAAAGAGGGACATGAGTGCCGAAGTCAGATAGATCTTGGCTAATAGCAGTGATTACCAGAAAGTGGTTTAACTGTGTTTAATTGAATATTAAAAGGCATTAAACTGTGAAGATCATAATAAATTTTGGAAAATATTGAGAAGGATGATAATTTCAAGACATTTATTTGTGCTCATTTGGAACTAGTATGTAGAACAAAAAGCAGTTATTTGAAAAGAATAATATATGGTTTAAAATCAGGAAAGGTGTGGTAGGGTTTAATCATTTCACCATACTATTCAATCTGTATGCTGGGCAAATAATCTGAGAAGCTGAACTACATGGAAGAAATACACAGGATCAGGATTGCAGGAAGACTCCTCAACAGTCAGTGATATGCAGATGTCACAACCTTGCTTCCAGAAAATGAAGACTTGAAGTACTTACTTATGACGATCACAGATTATAATCTTTAGTACAGATATCACTTCAGCCTAAAAAAACAAAAAATTCTCACAAATTGATTAAAAAAATCATGATAAACAGAGAAAGGCTAAAGTTGTCAAGTTTTTCATTTTACTTAGCTCCTCCATCAACACTCATAAAAGTCAGAAGTCAAGAAATCAAATGATGTATCAACATTGAGAAAATCCCTTTAAAGTTCCCTTTAAACCGCTAAAAAAGCAATATTGCCACTTAAAAGATTATGGTACACCGGGCCCAACCTTGGTTCTTCTTAACTGCTTCATATGCATGTGAAAGTTAGACAATGAATAAAAAAGATCAAAGGAAAACATTTCCTTGAATTGGGGTACTGGAGAAGAATATTAAAAATACCACGGACTATAGATTATGGGAGAGGATAGAGAACATTATGCCGAGTGAACTAACTCAGCCTCATGTGGACAAACACTGCATCAGACCCACTGTTGTAAAATTAGAAGAATAACTAGTAAGATGTGGATAAAAGTCCAAGAGGGGAAATGGGAGGAGGAGAGATGGGTGAGGGGGGATGGAGAGATCCTGAGGTCACAGAGCTTGGTGGGCAGAAGGAGGGGGTAAAGAAATAGCGATGAATCTGGTGGGCAACTGAAAAGACGGGGATAGTGGACATAGCTCAATGATGATTAATTTTATAAAATACACTGTATGGGAATAATTGTATGAAAGACAATGTGAATGAAGGAATATGTGAAACACAATGTACAAGAATGAAACCCAGTGTACAAGAGTTTTGTATGGGGCGGGGACTGTATACCAATGAAGGAATTTTTCTTGTACTTTTCAAAGAGAAGAGTGAACTGAGGGGGAGGGTTGAGCAGGGAGAAAAATGCAACAAGGAATGAATGGAAAT